AACAAATCATATAGAACTCAACCTTTATTATCTTGTTAGTTTGATCAAAGACTGAATTTTGTACTCTTCTTTTCACCAACTCACTCTGTCACTAATTATGAAATCAATCTTATACTCTATTCTACATTAGTTTACTAGAGTGCGCCTTAAATTATCAAAAATAGGTTTAATTCATTAGCCTCAGCATTTTTCAGATGTTAGTGTGATACATACATTAGTTAATAATATACCATAGTTTAAAGATTGTGGTGATGTTCCTTTTGCCAGCTCATGAAGTTCTACCTTGTAACAACTCAAGAAAGAAGTTCCTAGGGTGTCCTCAAAAGATTAGGAGAGTTTATGATAAACTTGATTGATTCTATTGTAGCATTACTTGATAATTTATCAAAATGGGACAGAAAAATATGGGAACGATTGACCTCAAAGGAAAGAGTTCGAGATAAGATGGCCAATTCACTCCCCAAAAAAGAGCTTCATGGACATTCTTGAGTAATACTAATTAAAATGTAGAAAATCAAGAAATATTTGTCAGATGAACGAATAAGGTCTTATTTGAGGTCTATGTTTTTTCCACCTTCCATTGAAAATGTGGGCTAAAATTATCTTCCTCTACCTTCATAGTCTTTATATGGAGAAGACAATGGCAATGATCCTTGACACTAGAGAACTTAAAACTATGTTGTCGACAGTGGTAATGACACCAAACCTCTTTAAAAATATGTCATATGTGAAGGGAACCTCAAATGGGTGTGTTGAGTTAACTGTGAACTTTGAAGGGTGTGTTGAGTTATAGATTAACTCATTATGATTTTGATGATTTTTCAGACATAGAGATGAAATCATAAAACTATCAATATTAGATGAAAATTTAATTAAAGGTCTATATATTTCATGATATTAAATATTTAATTACAATAACTAAGGTTTTTGAGGGTTAAATTGATGATCTAGTCCATAGGACGTATCTTATACTACTTTAAATTCTAGTGAGGGATATAAATGTAAGACTAGATTGAGTATAAGTACAATAAAAACTCTTTGTGATATAAACATCTGTGTAAATTTAATATTTGGATTTTCTATATCAAATAGATTCACTAATATAGGCTATCAGAAAAATCTGCATCAAAATTCAAAATATTGAGAGAGTTATCATTTCTTCAATCTTTATGGTTATTTTTCTATATTTTCTAGAATCCACTTGTGGCTCATTGAGGCCTGGCCCAACCATTTGACCAAATAAGGGTCAAAAGAAGGCTTTCTAGTCTGTTATAAAAAGTAGCCATTTGGCCTAAATTAAGTTAAGGAGAAAATCCATGATTTTTAGATAGTGGAGGCTTCTCCAACAAACATTTATTCTCACTATTACCTCTGCTCAAGTCTTCAAGATTCAAGAGCAAGGTGTGATTTTTTATTAAGAGGTAAAGATACTATTCTAAGTATCAAATGATTCTCCTACAGTCTAATGCTTCTCAACTCTTTTATCAACTCTTACTACACCAAAATAATATTTGAAAAGCTGTAGTCACTTTCTTATTAAATTATTCTTTATTCATGTTTTATTATGTGATATGTAAACTAGTTGGTACATCTGTGGTGTTTCATCAACATAGACACATAGGCCTTTGAGTCACTTGCATTGTGTTTGACATGATGAGACATAAGAATTCTAAGATTAAGATTGCTGTCATATACTAGTGAAACTTGCATATAAAAGGAGTTTTGGAATAATGGAATTGAGATGAAATTTATGAAAGTTGATGTAGCCAAAAGTAGTTTCAGTGAATCATTACAAAATATAGTCTGCATAATTTTCTCTTGATTTATTTTATGTTTCTATATATATAAATATAATCAAGCAATTAAAATAGATTAATTTTTTATAATTAATCAAATAAAAAATAAAAATAAATTCTCTCCCCTCTTGATTTATCTAATCATCTTTGGACTAATAGAGTCCTCCCTCTATGGAGAGAACAGAAATTAAAAAAATGCTTCCGAAATGCTTATGATAATTAAAAGGAATGTCTAACATTATGCTAGAATCTTTGCTACTGATTATTTAGGACAGTCCAAGTTGTGTGACTTGGATAATTGCCAAAGTTGGTATGACATTCTCATGAGCGGGAATATGTCATCTAGTTTAATCTATTTCAATAATGTTACGTTGACTCTGACAATATTAATTACAAAAATGGTCTAGTACAAGGGTTTTTGATAAGAGAACATTAAATGTAAATAAATATAGAGTTTATTTCATTCATGTGAATGCCTATAATTTTTTTCACAAGATGTAAGTTTACATATATTAAAATCTTGGACCCTAGGTGGATAGATCAATCAAGAGACGGGCTGAATTGAGTTTTAATTTTTTGTTTAAATAAGTATAATATATTTTATTTTACTTCATATTTAAATCTCTTAAATATATCTTTATTTTAATATCTAAATATCGTACACCAGATTTTTGACTTATTTGCCCATACTCCTTTGACTTACATGCACTTTTGAAGACTCTGCTTCAATTTTACTATTCCACCACCAAATTACAATTGACTTAGAAGCTTAGCTCCCTCTTACACTATACACTCCTCAAGTCTGTGCATTTATAATAAAAGCCACACTTATAGCAGCCTTTGCATAGATGTGAGCACACTGCAGGCCTCACTATATGTTCAACACACCACATCTATTAAGGACTTAACTACAGGAGATGGACAGGTGTGGGTCTTTCACACCACAGGTGCAAGATGTGCATCTTAGCACACCAAAGATTGAAATACAAACAAATAATGAATTTACTGCAGCCTTCAAATCTCATTTTCGTGCACCAGAAGTTGTTGAAGGTGTTGAGAGGTGTTGGGTTGACAAAAGAAGCTCTTGAGACTCAGAGTAATGTCTACGAATCCCTTGAAATAATCAAACTTTGTCCTTAATCCTTGGAAGAGTTGACGAAAGGAGAAACATCTGTTGAAGCAATAACCATCATCTGAAATTTATGTTTTTCCCTCTTGTACTAATTTGGCAAAATTCCCCCTTTATGGGCAAGGTAGACTGCCCCCTTTTGGCCTTTATCAAGTGAAATCGTCAGGTTAAAGTGAGTCTTAACGGACCACCTGCAGATCTTAGAATATATAGGAAAAGTAACCATAAAAAATGAAAAAATCATAACTCTTTCCATACTTTGAGTTTTTATTAACATATTTCAGCTTTAGATTCCTCTTTTAATCAGTGTTCCATTAACACCATGCCTATATCTGTGACATATTTTGTGAGATAAAAGTTTTTTTAGTAGAAAAGGTCAAGCTTCTATACTATTTTGACCCTATGTGAATAGATTATATTAGTAATGTTGTAAAACCAGTAAAAACTCAACACCTTGATATTTTTGTCTAAAATTTATTTCACTTGACTCCTCATTCGAATACCTTCCTATTGGTTAGCTAGGCATGTATTATTAAAGCCATTTGATGTAAACAAGTTTAAAATTAAGACTTACTCATAGGAGGATAACATATGTACCGAACAAAAAATTTATATTATATTTATGTCCATATAGTCTAACAATCATATCTTTAATGGAAATTGGAAATAGAATAAGATATTTTCTATGATCTAGACACTAGTTCTTTGCTGAAATAATCTAAGCTCTTTTTATTTCATTTAATACATCAATCTCTTATTCATTTTACATCATATATTATCAATTTCACAATTTCATATTAATATTCAAAACTCATCAAAATCTTCATTAGTTAATCCTTAATTCAACATAAAGTACTTCAGAAATGTAACTATTTTCACAGAAGAATGTACTATACACATAAATAGTCTTAATCATTCAAGAAAGAATTGACCTAGAGAGTATCTGGAACCTCCTTTATAGCGACGTTGGAGATGGAGAGTTATGACCCAGGGAGGGTTTTGGATATGCTAATAATAACATTGTTTTCATTGCGAAAAGACTACCACACCCATTGCTTGAAAAAACCATTGAAACTTGTCATTGTTTTCTGTCTTGTTGTCTCTAACACGGCCAAGTCCTCTCTTTATGTAACAGGACTAAGACCATGTTCCCATCTACATTTAGATAGCCTGAAGGGCTCTTGTCTTCCCAAAGTGCAGACCCTGCAACACTAGAAAGTAGCCTGGAGAGTAGAGAAATTAAGTCCATCAGAGAGTGTAAAAGAAGCTTTGTCCGTCTGCGACGTGAGTGATATGAATCGGTAGGTATAATAATTTTCGAGGAATACGATTGTAACTATTACTCATTAAATCTCAATTACCGTTGGAAACAAAGCTGTCAATCTTTTTTTAAGCTTGGATGATTATGCTAATAGAAAATTAGATTTGCATAAGATACTGTACGTGATTTGAGTTTCAATAGCAAGCACAACAAAATTGGACGAGAAAAGGTCCTCCGCGTTCTACAGGTCTCAGAAACGTGCCTTGGGCAAAGTCAGAAGGGCAATGACATTCGAAGTTAAGATTGTCTCGATGGGACACGGACAACGATGGCGGGGTATGAGCGAAGTCAGGAGCATAAGGATTGAGGGGCTACTGGTCTCAGACACGTGCCTTGGGGAAAGTGAGAAGGACAATGACATTCCACGTTAATGGGACACGGACTGCGATGGCGGGGTACGAGTGACGTCAGGAGCATAAGGATTGAGGGACAATTAAAGATGGCAACGACTTTTCCTTCTATTTTGGCAATTCTTGCACGCATCCATCGTACTCCATAAATTATATAAAGGAGATGAAGTCCAATTCCTTGTCCCCAGACCTCCCTTTCTTACTCAAGAAATGTCTGGGCCAGAAGACCATCATGCTGCAGCACTCCGACACATCAGACAAAGTCCAATTCCATCTCTCCAGATCCCCAAGTGCGCGCTTCAATCCTCCTGTCCATCTATAAATATCCACCAAAGGTTATGCTGCTCAAACCTGTCTCAACCTGGGGAGCAAATTAAATTATCGAAACAACGTAGGACCGAATAATGGGCTCCTGCGTTTTTGCCTTCGTCGTGCTCGGTCTCGTCTACACCCAGGCCTTCGCCTCCGACCCGAGTCCACTGCAAGACTTTTGTGTAGCAGAGAACGCCCCCAAGGGTATGTGCCGTGTAGCCCTCACGATCTACACGCTGCTTTCTCCGTACTGCGATCTTCTCATAATCAGGGTTTGGTGCAGTGTTCGTAAATGGTGTCGTCTGCAAGAACCCGGCACATGTCCACGCCGACGACTTCTTCTTCTCTGGCCTCGACAAGCCCGGCGACACGAACAACGCTCTCGGATCCAAGGTCACCCCTGTCAATGTCAACAACCTCTTCGGGCTTAACACCCTCGGCATCTCGCTCGTCCGCATAGACTTTGCCCGCCACGGGCTCAACCCTCCGCACACCCACCCGGGGGCCACGGAGGTGCTCACACTGCTCGAGGGCAAGCTCTACGTCGGCTTCGTCACCTCCAACCCGCCCAAGCTCTTCACCAAGATTCTCAACAAGGGCGACGTCTTCGTCTTTCCCCATGGTCTCATCCACTTCCAGCATAACATAGGCCATGAGAATGCGGTAGCCATCGCTGGCCTGAGCAGCCAGAACCCCGGTGTGATCACCGTCGCCAACGCCGTCTTCGGGTCCAATCCTTCCATCAATGACGACGTGCTAGAGAAGGCTTTCCAGGTCGACGACGATGTCATTGACTACCTTAAGTCCCAGTTCTGGACGGACAACCAGTGAACCTGGACCTTATGTTTGTAATTCTGTGTCCTTGTTTGCTATGGAATAAAAGATGTCAGACTTTGGACTTGTATTATCCCCAGTGTTGAGAGGGCTCGTCGGTCGTTAGGAAGACTCGATGCGTGTGAAGCGGCTTTCTGCCGTCGAAGTGATTCCTTATTTATTCCACTTTAATAACTAGAGATTCAGAAGTAAAAATAGATGGATCCAGATGGGAACACGACGTGGAGGGAGAGCGCGAGAAGGGTAACGTCACGAACCTTTTACAGATACTGATGTTGGAGGATCGCCACTGACGAGTTCCGCAAATACAGGTACGTAGGCCATCGAAAGTCTGCAAAATATGCGTTTTCTTTCTCCATTTGCGGCATTTAGAGTCATCCGTAATTCAAGACGAAATGTCCGTTCCCACTCGAAGGTGAAGGTCATTTCATTTGAAAGAAAGGGTCGAGAAAAACAGTTTTTAAAGTGAGGAGATTGGTTGACTGAGAGCCAGACAATGGCCGCCTATGCTCTACGATGCGTGATAACTCTACGATGCGTAGTCGTTGTCGCGATGCGTTGGTCGTTGTCTTAAGTAACATATGTATTGGTTTTTTTTTTTAAGAAGGCATTCTCTGCTCTGGTAAGATGACTTTCTGCATGTATTACCTGGAGTATGGCGCCGGACGACGGCTTGACAGTATACATAGTCTCCCAAAGAGAAAACAAGAACTGAGCGTAAGATCAGAAGTATGATTGACCTATACAAAAGACTTCGCAAAATCTTTCATCATGTAAACAAGGAAGATAGTAACTCGACTAGTAATTTTTTCCCCATGTGTTTATAAAAGTACAAAGTGAAAGACGAGTCTTCATGTCCACAATAAATAGGCAAAGAGAGTTATTCGGAGCTGCTTCGTTATCTCATGCTACACCCACTAAACGAGTTACGATTTAGCGACGATTTTTCCTTTGGTATGTTTGTTTAAACTGTAGATATCTACAGCTTGGTGCATATCCTGAGTTATACCATTCGGACACTGCAGTGATGCAGTCATGACGTCCGTAGGACAGCCACTTGCTCATATGCTGTTGCATATCACGTCACTGGGGTCGGGAATAACCGTCCCAGAATTGATAAATCATTTACATGACGTCACGGTTCTTTGGGCATTTGGTCGGGCACAGTTTACCGACAAAGTCAATGGTTTATTTACTCAAAATACCACTACGCCGGTTCGGAAAAGGTCCTAAGGTTATATCCAGACCGGACGCCTGCATGAAAGAGGACGATTTTTCGGAATAACGCCGTTTCTTGAGCAGGAGTCAGCCTCAACTTAACCGTTCCCTCTACATCTCAACATTGACCCTGCACCCAAGCGACCGATATTTTTTCTTCAGCTCGATCCTAATTCAAATCGACTGTCGTGTCTTCACAGCAAGCCAATACCATATAAATTAGTTTTTATGGGAAGCTTAAGTCAAGTCAGCATTAACTTGACGAACATTTCAATTTTGTGATTGGGTCAGCTGAAAAGAAATTGGATAAATCAATGTTGCCATCTAACTGACGCAAACAAAGGGAAATTGTGCATGAAAGAGAATCATCATCAATTAGTAAATCTGATCCCTCAAATTTATATCAAACTGTGTGAAATCAGCTCACTTTAGAACCTGAGATCTATGTGGAGGGAAGTGAGAAGCCTCTCTATTTCTGGCTACCTCGAGGTATTTAATCTAGAAAGAGATTTGAGGGATCTCAAGGGGTCAAGAGCTGTAAATCAATCGACGTGCTGCTTTCCTTGTACTGTGTTCTTCGAATAATCTGGTTTTGTTGCAGTGTTCGTAAATGGTGTTGTCTGCAAGAACCTGTACCATGTCAAGACTGACTGCTTCTTCTCTGGCCTCGAGAACCCGGCGACATGAAGAACGCTCTCGGATCCAAGGTCACCCCCGTCAACGTCAACAACTTCTTCAGGCTTAACACCTTCGGCATCTCGCTCGTCCGCATCGACTTTGCCCACCGTGGGCTCAACCCTCCCTGTGGAAAAATGAGAAGTAGAGAGAAGTCTAGGGAGAAGAGAAGGAAAGAAGAGAGGAAGGAATTTCTTGTATGTATTCCACACAACAGAAATGCTTACAAGGGTCCATATATATATCATACAAGGTGTTACCGTTGTAATATCTAATATAGGTAAGAGCTTTATTTAGTTATGTTTCTAAACACGAACCGCTGGCCTTGTGTCTCACTGATGCCCGTTGCCGTGAATCGGTGATTACGCCGGTTCACGGTTTCCTCTTTTAAGTCACTCTAACCTCCGGTTCAAGATTGTTGTCTTGAACCGTTGGGTGATTCGGTCCAGAGATGTTCTGGTCATTAATACTCCCCCGCAAGCTGATGGCTGGTAAGACATTTAGCTTGGACTTTAGGAGAAGAAAATGATGCCTTGGCAGTGGCTTGGTAAGGATGTCGGCTACTTAATCTTTGGTGGAGAGAAAGCCGATTTTGACTTGCGTGGAGTTGACTTGCTCACGCACGAAGTGGTAGTCAATTTTGATATGCTTCGTACACGCATGGAAGACAGGATTGACAGCCAGGAAAGTAGCTCCAATGTTATTGCACCACGGAAAGGGAGTAGCCGTGTTATGGATGCATAACTCATGAAGTAGAGATCAAATCTAGATTAATTCAGCTGTAGCATTAGCTACAGCTTTATATTCTACTTCAGTACTTGAACAAGCGATTTTTTGCCTAAATAGACGAGGTATCCTCCAGTGGATCTTCTATCAATTTCAGCTCCAGCCCAATCTGCATCACTAAAAAGAGAAAGCAAAGGCTATTAAATATTGTTCCCTTTAGGTAATGAAAAAGATGTTTTACCCGAGCCCAGTCGTTAATTGAGGGATTATGCATGGACTGGCACACTTGGTTGACAGGAAAGGATATATCTGGTCTTTTGATCGTAAGATACTGAAGTGCTCCAACTGCACTTCGACAGATTACAGGATCAATGTGTTTGTTTTTAATAGGACGAGTTGATGAAATAATACAGGAGTTGGAGACAGGCTTATAATTTTCCTAAGAAATAATGTGCAGGTCCTAAATCACGCATAGAAAACACAGAGCTTAAGATATAATAGTTGAATTAATACTGTGAGAATCAGGACTAATGACTAAAAGATCATCAACATAGACTAAAATAAAATATGGAACAGTCTTAACATGTTTATAAAACAGTGATGTGTCAGTTTTTGAATCATTAAAATCAAGGGATAATAAAATTTAGTGAGTTTTTTATACTATTCGCAGGGAGCCTGTCTAAGACCATAGAGGGATTTATGTAATTTACACATGATCTGGAAAATGAGGATGCTGAAAACTAGGTGGCTGTTCCGTATAAATAATTTCTGTTAAGTTACCATGGAGGAATGCATTGGACACATCCAACTGATGAATATTCTAATTTTGGCCGATGGCAAGAGAGATCAGGATTCTAACTATAGTAATTTTGACGACATGACTAAATGTATCATGATAATCTATTCCCACTTCTTGTGTATATCCTTTGGCTACAAGACGTGTCTTATATTTATCTATGGTTCCATCTGGTTTAATTTTTAATTTATAAATCCATTGACATCTAATGATATGCATATCAGAGGTATGTGGAATTAAGGTCCATCTAAGAGAGCATTAAATTCAGAAATCATAGTTTTGGTCCAATTGGGGTCTTTGGAGTCCTTTGAATATCAAGTGGGCTCAACGGGATGAGTAACTGATGCAAGAAAACAAGAAGGCATTGGATGTTTAGTAACTAATTGTAGAGAAAAAGATACTGGTTCTATTTTGGAATAAATTTTAGCAATTGATTTCGCTTTAAGGGGTGGAGACAACGGTGAGTGATCTGCTGAGGGGGACTGCTGGGTTGGGGATAAGGACTGATGATGAACGGTCAGTTGAGGAGTAGAAGATTCTAAATCATATGAAAAATCTGTATTTTGAGAGTTTGTAGAGGTTGGAAAAGTTTGAGGAATAGATGCGGAGTTCAGGTTTGTGGAGTGCGGAGGCACAGAAATAATATTAGAAGAGGATAAAATAGAAGATGGCATAATGATAATGGGAGACGCACCTAAAATTCCGGGTGAAGAAGACGAGACAGTAGGTATGGAGTCATTGGAAATCTCTTTAAAGGGAAAAACAGATTCATTAAATACAACATCACGAGAAAGAAAACTCTTACCTGAATTTAAAGATAAGCATCTATAGCCAAGATGCATAGAACTATAGCCAAGAAAAACACATCTTTCAGACCTTGAGGTGAGTTTATGAGATGCATAAGCTCTTAGGTTTGGATAGCATAAACAACCAAAAGTTTTAGAAAAACTAATGTCAGGAGATTGTTTAAAAAGCACTTCAAAAGGAGATTTGTTCTTCAGAATCGGTGAGATAATCCAATTAATAAGGTCGATGTACATACAGCTTCATCCGAAAATTGCTTAGGTATAAAAGCATTGTGAAGTAATGATAAGGCCGTCTCGATAATGTCTGTGTTTTCTCTCAGCAGTCCCATTTTGCTGAGGTGTATATGAAACACGATGAGTTCCGAAAATAGCTAGATTGTGTTGTGGCAATACACCCCCAACTCAACAGCCATCTAGCATAGGGCATTGAAAGTGTTCAGAAGATGCGTTTTGTATCTCCCTGTGCATCACTTAAACTCGTTTGAAGTTCGAGATGAAAGTTGGGTTCCCATTCGAAGGCAAACGCCATTTGACTTCGGATATAGGGTCGAGGGAATCATTTGACAAGGTGAGGAGATTTATTGACTCCGGAGCCGGACAATACTCATTTTTACTGATTATATTTGCCTGATTCTCCCTGATACAGAAAATCGGTGATGCGCCGGTCATTGTTTTCGGTAACATGAATTGATTTCCTTTTAGAAGCCTCTCTGTGTTTTAAGAAGATCATTTTGTGCATGCATTACCTGGAAATAAATTTGAATAAAACGCATAAT